AAAAAAGAGTGTGTCTGAAAATAAATGGCATAAGATTTTTTTGGATAAGAGTATCATTTAATTTGGACTCTAAAATGGAACGAGGAATACTTAAAAGTTGAAATCATAAATGATTTGGAATCAATATTAAATTGAAAGCAGTTGGAAAGGAAACTTTCTTCCTGATCTTGCATAGTTAATACCCTGAAGCAAGAGGTGTATGCTCCATTTTAATTCTGCTATAAGTAATTTTACTATAGAGCCATATTTTGATATCTTTCCCCAGTCCCCTCTCCCCAAGCCTCCTCCTTCCTAGCCTGTTCCTCCCCACCTCCTGCCACTCTGTCCTGCCATGACATCTCCCGTTCCCTACACAAGCCAAGCATTGTCCAGCCTCCACACCTCTGTTCCTACTTTTCTCTTTGTCTGAAACACCCTTTCCTCAGCTCTGGCTCCACCTGCACCTCACCCTTCAGGTCTTGGTTCAGGGGTTGCCTCCTTAGATAGACCTTCCATTCTAAGACTCCTTTCTTCTCCCAAGCAGCCACCCCCTTCAGCAGAGGGTCTAGGGCCACCAAAAGCCCTAGAATGGGGTCTCTTCCATGATGTCATCATCCCTGAACCATCGCTGTGACCAGGACCCAGCCAGACCTGGGAGACACCCCCCCACCACCTCTGGTCATTCATCCTTCTTTGCCTACTTGCTGGCTTCTTGGCTATCTTCCCACTCAACAAGGGCAGGGGCTGCTTTCCTCCCTAACATATCCCAGCACCTAGCTGAGGGCCTGGCACACAAGAGGTGCTTAGTAGACGTTGTTGCGTGAACAACTGGGAACCATTCAGAATCTCCCTGCTGGAGTCGATGAAACAGGGTTGACAACTGCAGAAGTGATTTGAGGTCTCCTTTCTAAATCCAATGTACCATGCCTGTTCAGGTGGTTTGGAGACACGAGTTTCTTCCCATGGGAAAGTCACCGTTCTGAGATGATGCTTGACCCTATTCTCCTAAAGGATGCCCTGGTCTGTTCTCTTGCTCCAAGAGTTATCTGAGGACAAGGGAGCACAAGGGACAGGATGGGCCAGGACACCCAAGTCCTTGGCTTCACAATAGCCTGTTCTTATGCGCAGGGATGGGGTAGGCATTGGGCAGGTGGCACGAAGCCTCAGATTTCTGACTGTTCCCTCTTGACCTGGCAAGGAGCTTTCCCTCATCATGGTCACAACTGTGAGGTGGGCTGGATGAGCCCATTTTACAGATAAGAAAGCTGAGGCTCCAGGAGCTAGGAAATCATGTGCGCCTAGAGCTTCCTGAGTCTGGAGTCCAAGTCCCTTCCTTTCTGCCACACTTCTTTGGCTTTGAAGAGGTCATGACTGATGAGTTCCTTAGCTCAATATTCAAGGCCTTCTCCCTTCCTGTCCTGATTTATCTTTCCATTTTCCATCTCTTCTCCCCTGGAGAAACTTCTCCTGTAAGTCCACGATGTTCATGCTGGGCTCTGGCTTCAGTCCCTGAAGCTGCTCTACCTTCTTCTGTTTGGAATGTGAGCATCCTCATAAGAACTCATTTGAAAAGAGACTCTAGCTAAAAACCACTCTAGAAACCCCTGCCCAGCACAGTTCCCCTACCCCAAGCTGGTCTTTGTTCTCCCTCATCCTCCTCCACCAGCAGTCTCTCCTTGCTCTCCCACTGTCTAAATCCTCCGAGTCCATCCAGGTACACCATGGTGTCTCCAAGCTTCAGACATCTCTTTCCTGCCCTGCTTCCTGTACCAGTCAGGATTGGATTACATGTGAGGGAAACCTAGCTTAAGATGGCTGCAAAAATAATTCAAGAGAGCAGGTGTGACCAAGACATGATTATTGGCCCAGGAAACTGGGTGTCCCAGAATAGATTTAGCTTCAAGCAGAGCTGAACAATAAGGGTCCGACTGTGCCATCAGGGCTCTACAGATGATGGCTTTTTTTCTCAGGCAGGTGCCTCCCAGGTAATGATAACATAGCTCCTGGTAGCTCCCCGTCCTGAGCCCAGCAACCTCAGAAAGGCTAGTCTTTCTCAAGAGAGAAGTCCCACGCTGAGTCCTGCTGATTCTGATTGGTCCAGCTCAGGTCACATGTTCACCCATCAGCCAATCACAGTGGGCGGTGAATGTGCCCAACTCTACCTAAAGGGATGAGCTTGAGGGTAGGGACAAAGGTTCCCAAGGTGTTCTGGTTGGAAGAGATGGTAACTGATTCTGGGTTTAAAAAAAAACCGCCGGCAGCCACTGCCCCGTTTCAGGCATCTTTATTTATGCATGTCTTGTCTCTGCTGCTGGACCTCAACTCCTGGGACAGGGGCCCGGCCTGTTAACCCCATGGCCTCCGGCAACAATGAGCCCCTCTTATTTGTATGACATTTCTCTGTTTCCAAAGAGCGTTTGCATGTGCGTGTAGTTTCATGGTCATGACTACCCTGTAGCAACAGACAGTCTCTGCGGTCCAGGAGTGGGTCACAGGTGTGCTGATCCCTCTGCTTTAGGTGTCTACCTCCTGTCTGGGATCACTGAAGGCCTCTGACCTCCAGCCCACCTCAGTGTGCCCTGATTTGTTGTCGATGTATTGTTTTCTGTGTGTGCCGTGACTTGTGACGAGGTTGTGGACACAGCCCCGTGCTTTATTAAATGGTTCCTCGCCCTTAATTTCATCACACATGGCTGAGAGTGGTGGCTCAAACCTGTAATTTCAGCACTTTGGAAAGTTGAGGCAGGAGGACCATTTGGGCCCGGGAGTTCAAGACTAACCTGGGCAACATAGCAAGACCTCATCACTACAAAAAAAAAAATACACAAATTAGCTGGGCGTGATGAGATATACCTATAGTCCCAGCTGCTTGGGAGGCTGAGGCAGAAGGATCAACTGAGTCCAGGAGGTCGAGGCTGCAGTGAGCCATGATCGTGCCACTGCACTCCAGCCTGGGCAACAGGGTGAGACTCTGACTAGCCAAACAAACAAAAAAAGATTCTGGGAGGTAGAAGAAGCAGATGCTGCTAACCCATTTCACAGAAGGAAAAACTGAGACTCAAAAGGAAAATATAACTTGGCCCTTGTCGTCAGTGGTGGAAGTGGCATGCCGGGTCAGCTGTGGAGATGTGGCCAAGAACTGCAGGTCCCATGACTTGTGATAAAAGACAAGATTTTAGGAGTGACTGGCAAAATAGCCCGTGGCTCTCTGAATGGAGCGGGGAGCAAGAATTCCTTACAGTGCAGAAAATAGCAGCTTCTCCTGAGCTGACCTGGTGCCCACGCATCCCCCTGTGCACAACTCTGGAGTTGGGGATTATTGTACCCATTTTGCTGAGGAAGCTGAGACATGGAGCAAGCAACATGTCCGGCTGGTTATTAGCAGAGCTGAGATTCAAACCCAGGTCTTTCTTGGTCCGAGAGGTGGGAAGGCCACGCTGATGCTAACTCCCACCTCCTGCTGCTTCCTGCAGGTCTACATCATCCGGGTCACGTGGTCCAGCGGCTCCACTGAGGCCATCTACCGGCGCTACAGCAAGTTCTTCGACCTCCAGGTAAGGTTGCGGTGTCTCTGCTGTGCTGCAGGGAGGGAAAGTGTTTAATTGGGCTTACGTTCCCCTGCAACTTTAGAGGCCTTGACTTGTGGTTCATAAGTGATGCGCTTTGTGCTTTATGCTTTGAGGTGTACTATTTCCCGAGTAAGGGAAAGTGTACTTGGTGCCTGCCCCAGAAAGGAGAGCGATCTAGAAATAGTTTCCGGGTGACTTTGGAGTACAGATTTTGAACTTGAGCTCTGAGCGATCTGGTGAGCTGTTTTTTTTTTTGAGTGGGTCTGGACTTTGGGGCTGCTTAGCCCTGAAGACAGACCTGAGTCTCTTCTGTCACTTGTTCCCTCCCTGTAGGCCTTTGTACCTGTTACTCGCTGAGAACACACCTGTGCCTTCCTAACCCACTCAGGACTTGGGTAACTCCTGTACCCCGTGTGACTCCTCCTCTGGGAAGCTTGTCTGACTTTGCTCCCTGGCCAACGAGGGCCACCTGTTCTGTCCCCCACAGTTCTGAAGTTGTCTGCTTGGCGGTCTCCTCTCCAACCTGTAACTGTCATGGGCAGGAACCTTTTTTTTCTTTTTTTTTTTTTGAGTTGGAGCCTCCCTCTGTGGCCCAGGCTGGAGTGCAGTGGCACAATCACAGCTCACTGCAGCATCAGCCTCCTGGGCCTGGGCAGTCCTCCCACCTCAGCCTCCTGAGTAGCTGGACCTGTAGGCATGCACCACCATGTCTGGCTAATTTTTTTAATTTTTTGGAAAGTCAGGGTCTCACTGTGTTGCCTAGGCTGGTCTCAAACTCCTGGGCTCAAGCAATCCTCCCACCTTGCCCCTCCCAAAGTGCTGGGATTATAGGCATGAACTATCATGCCCAACCCATGTCTTCCTCTTCCTCTCTCTCCTTAGTGTTTTATTCAAGGCCTAACTTACAGTGTGTGTCCAGTCAGTGTTCGGTGAATGAATGAATGAATGAATGAATGAATGAACAAACAAAACAAGAACACCATGTGTACCACCAGTCACAGGAACCATGCAAAACATGGACTGCTATGTATAAGTCCATCCCTGCTAAGGTAGCACAACTAATTTGTGGGTCAGTAGTTTCACGTTGACATCACCAGAGGCAAGCAGCTCGCAGCAGCCATGAGAAGTATGGTTCCTCCTGATAGGACATACCCAAATTCCTTGGAACATGCTGTCTTGGGAGTCCATGGGAGTTTGCCTTTCTAGTCACATGGATGCTCCCTGCCTCCTGGTAAGGGGCTGCGCCACCTCTCAAGCGACAGAAGTGACGACTATCTTCCTGGGATGCCTGAAGTGACTGTCTGCCTTTCCTCTGTCAGTCAGCGTTTCCGTTGCCAGTGACAGAGACCAAGCTGACTGAAGTAAACAGGGACATATTTCTGGCTGGTGTAACTGAATGTCCCAGAAGAAGAAACATTCCAGGCTTCGGGCATGGCTTCATCCAGGGTTTTTTGTGGCATCATCTGACCTGCTTCTTCCTCTCATTCCAATTCCTATTTCCATGGATTCTACATAGTTGCAAAATGGCCACAGCAGCTCTGGGCTCACACCCAGCAGCAAAGAGTAAAAGTCAAAAATCTCAGCAAACACATGGTCGTGTGTCATAGGCTCATCTCTATGCCAGTCAACATGAGTGAGAAATGTGCCGACCAATGGGCTTTCTGGGTCACTGCTCCACCCCTGACTGAGACCCCAGAGAGGTAGATTCCCAAGCAGCCATGATCGGAGGTCAAGTAGACATTTCTGGGCCATCGGATATGCCCAGATGATGGGCCTTTGCACACATCCTGTCTCTTAGCCTCGGTGTTCTCAGAAGGTTGAGTGATACTAACCACAAACATCCTTTGTGCAGACCTAATCTGTTCCTGAAAATGTCGAATAGAGAATTTTCCAAGCCTGTGTTGCATTATTTTGTAGGGGAGGGAGATCATGTGCTCCTACCCAGTTTCCCCAAACACCCACGTTATAGCATCTGCCAAGAGTCGCTGCATAATGTAGAGCAATTGAAACACCAGTTACCTAATTGTTTACAAAGTGATGAACTCATTAGTGAGTTTTTGTGTTCAGTATGCAACAATATCAAACAGCAGCTCAGACATGGAGGAACATAAGTAAACAAAGAAGCTGTATGTTAAAGAAGGGAAGGTACTGTGTAAAATAGACTTGACAGGAGCAAACACTGGGGCTAGGAATAAAGACCTAACCTCGAGAAAGCAGGGGAGGAGGGCAGTGGGACTGCCCAGCGTCTTTCAGCGCCAGGAGCAGGAGGCACAGTCCTGGCTGAGAACAACCGAGACAGAAGGGCTTGCTCATTCCTCACTCAGATCCACGAGTGATTGATGCAGGTTTATGACAGCGGGTCTGCAGTTCAGAGAGTGAGGGTTGGGTAGACATTTTTGCACGTGGCTAGCCTGACGAGGAGGGTGTGAACAGGGGGGCTGCCTGGATTTTGCTTTCAGAAGCCTCTTGCTTGCCCTGACACCCCCAAGGAGCAGCAGAGGCAGAGGCAAGGGACAGTGGCATGTGATCTTTTTTTTTTGAGTTGGGGTCTCATTTTGTCACCCAGGCTGGTGTGCAGTGTCACGATCATGGCTACTGCAGCCTCAACCTCCTAGGCTCAGGAGATCCTCCCACTTCAGCCTTCCAAGTAATTGGGACTACAGGCATGCACCACCATGCCTGGCTAACTTTTAACTTTTTTGTAGAGACAAGGTCTCGCTGGAATGACACACGATTCTTAGCCCATGATCCTTTGAGAATGCCTGAGCTGGGGTTTGGTCACAGGTCTTCCTGGCCCAATGCCAGTGTTCCCTCCACTCTCCTGTTCTGATTCAACTGGTTTCTTTCTACCAGAGCTTAAAAGTAAGGTTTTCTCCCCACTCAGCATAATTGGTAATAACTGGGGTTTGCTAGGACATACATGGCCATTCCTGGCTTCCCTCTCTTATCAAAGTTGCCTGAAGCCTAGGCCCTGGCCAGCTTTAAGAGTTCTCATTGGGCGGCTGGGGCAGAAGGTCATGCAATTCCAGAAGGTTCTGCTCATCCTGGAAGCAACCTGGAACCGCCCCCCCCTTTTTTTCAGAAGTAACTTGGCTCAGAATGTGGGGAGGGCTGAGCCTCGGTGCAGGCCAGTGTGGCGTAATGGAAAAAGCAGAGGACTCCCTGGAAGACTGGGGCTCAGCCACCCTCCAACTGTGTGGCCTTGGGCATACCCCTTAACTCCTCTGTGCCTGAGTGTCCTTATTGGTGCCATTTCTGGATCCCTGAATGTGGCCCCCATCCTGCTGAACAGCTAGGTGTGATGAGTTCTTTAATCCTTGAGGTGGACTGAGAGAGGTTAAGTCGTTTGCCTGAGGTCACACAGCCAGTGACTTGGATTTGAAGCTGGGTAAGCACCACAGAGTCCATACTTTTAGCCACTCTCCTGTCTGGTGTTCATCTCTCTAGAAGCTGCTTCGCAAAGCTCTTTTTTTTTTTTTTCCTGGGTTGGAGTCTCACTCTGTCGCCCAAACTGGAGTGCAATGGCACGCTCCTGGCCACCGCAGCCTCCACCTGCTGGGCTCCTGAGATCCTTCTGCCTCAGCCTTCCAAGTAGCTCGAACTCCAAGCACACCCTACCACACCTGGCTAATCACAAAGTTCTTGTGAGTTAAAATGGACGATCTGTGTCCAGAAGAGGCAGGTCCATAGTGACAGAAAACAGATTCGTGGTTGCCAGAGGTTGTGGGGAGGAGATGGGGAGACCCTCTCAGGGCACAGGGTGTCTTTTGGGAGTGGAAGTTAGCAAGGTGGGATGGTTGCATAGCCTTGTGGATACCTTGTGGATATACTAAAACAACACTGCAATGTGCACTTTATTTTTTTACCTTTTTTTTTTTTTGAGTTGGAGTCTCACTCTGTCGCCCAGGCTGG